AATTGGATGAATCATATACTGTAACGCAAACACTCATTGGTTAGCTAAAGGAAGTCATCAGAAGCAAGCAGTTGTTCTTCAAACTGCAAATGTGAATTGTCTATGCCATGCCACAATGTTGGATTCAGAAAAAGATGTCGAAATGTCTGAAAGGTCTGAAATGTTTTCAAATAAAACACTTAGGGCTTCACAGAACAGCTTGATTTATTCTAGGACTGAATTACTCACAAGTGGACTCCGTTTACTAATTAGGCAACTTGACTTAATTAGGCAAGAAACAGGTTGCACTACATGTTTTAGAGGTAGAGCAGTAAAACATGGCTAAATATAAATACACACCACACTTTTCATATAAAAACTAACAGATTTTCCTATTTATAGTTATGTAATGAATTAGTGTAAAGGGCTCTCTTGACTCTGCCATAGTCAACCTCATCGTAGGTGGAGCACCTCAGAGTACAGACAGTTGAGGCAAGGCTGCCATATCATTGCCTATGACAGTTGGACATAGCCAATCAGATAGTGATGCACTTCCACAGATTCAGACCCAACACAGTTACATCATGAGGGCTTAAATTGAGGTGATGGCCTCTTTCAAAAGTACCTGGTTGCCTTACCTAACCAATAAGCTGGAGTGAAGTCACTGATGATATTTACTGACAGTGTCAGAGCACACTTTACCTGGTGAGGAGACTGGGATATTTTGGAGTGCAGAGATACTTCTGAAGAGTTTCTTTTTGATTCTGTGGTGGCATCAGCTGTCTTCTCTTGTTTAGTGTAATGGGTGGCAAAGGAGAGGCAGGAATATTCCTGGGGAACGTATATCAATAGACAGACAGACAGGCAGCGTAATTTTGTTTAATTGTAGATTTAAACATGAGCAGTAGGTTTAGAATACATTTTACACATACTACTAAAACCCTTTGATTTCTTCTTACTCAAATATGTATCCTAATTTATATGTATCCTAATTCGACTGGAGATGTTCGATGAGGCCACTGACGCTCTTCTTTCACTGTCTGGGACCTGCAATTTCCCTCTCTCACTGTCTCTGGCTTAAACTCTTCCTCTTCCATCTCTTCACTCCTGTCTTCCACCTCTTCCACCCGCCTTTTATCACTTTAGTCATCATCCAAGATCTCGCTGACCACTGCTTGCTGCTCTTCTACTTCCACCTCATCTCCATCGTCCACCTTGCTTTACTCTTTCAATTTAGCCTTTTCTCTCACCAGACTCCTCAGAAAGACAAAACTAGGAGTGCTGTTGCCTATCCTCGTCATGTCTGTTAGAGTTAAACTAACTAAACTAACTTACTCTTTTACCTTACACAGACCTAACTTCAGACTTTATCATTTCATGGATGAACATAAGGCCAAAGACGTTTTTTTTTTTACTGTCTCAGACTCGACAGTAAAACTATTTTTAGCAAGTTTTAATTCTTATTCCCCTCTTTAATATAATGTATTATAGAATAGATAGAATAGAACAATTTTATTGTCATTACACTGTCACAAGTACAAAGCAAAAAAATGAACTCTCTGCATTTAACCCATCCCCTTGGGGAGTATTGGACTGCCATCGTGGGGTTAAAGATCTTGCTCAGGGAACCAGAGTGGCAGTCTGCGGGAGTGGGGCTTGAACCTCTGGGACCCAAGTGCAAAGCCCTAACCACTAGGCCACCACTCCCCACTAAAGAGTTGCTTGCCCAATGTGGGGTTATAGTTATTGTTCTTCTTATGACTATATTATAGTTCTTCTTACCTCTTTCCTTTCGTACCTTCTGTCCTGGTGTCTGCTCCTCTTTGTGCTAATTGACTTCCAATCAAAGAGTATCTTGGCCGCCGTCGCGCTATCACTGATCTCTTTTTATTATTATTATTATTGAAAAAATACAGGGCAGTGCACGCTACCCTGTGTTGCATTCAACGTGGTCGGACATCAGAACTTTCTACACGAAATATACAAATTGCTATGATCTGATTCTCAATTTTGGGGGTGTCAACCGAGGTGGCAAGGTTTTTTTGGGGGGTTGGCAAATGCCACCCGATGCAACCCCAGTAGATCCGCCCCTGGTGGGAAGGTAGGCAACTTAACACAAGTGGGGCTGAACTAACACACAACGTTAACTGTATCCCAAGAGGAAAACGTATAAACACTGATCTTGGTGAAATAATTAAAAGGATCAAAAGATAAGAAACACAAAAAAACAAAAACAAATAAGTCTAAGAAAAGGAGATGGACCAAATATAGGAAGACCCAAAGAACATCACAAAAACTGATCAAAAATGCAAACACACAGAAAAACAAATCCTATACACCTGAATATTGGGACACCTGGTGAAAACTGGTTTAATAACAGTGAAAACAGCAGCAGGAGACAGTGGTACAGAGTGGACTTCACACATTGGACATGACAAGTCATAAATGTCATCCATGTATGAGTAAACATGTCATACACAGTTACGGCAGTGTTGATGTTTTTGTGGTCAGAAGTGTTTCCCAAACCAGGTGTTTAAAAGAAGTCACCCCCAGCCACTTCTAGGAAAGAATGACCTCTCAGATTTTTTTTTTTGCTTCTTTAACAACTTTTTCCCCGCAGAAAGATATAACCAAGCAGTGGGTGTAAAAACTGTTAATTTCTGAAATTAGCTAATATAAACAGCTGGTGGTTTTGCTAGGGATGATAAGCTTCTGTAACACATTACAAGGTTGAAGTTTACCCCTTCTTTCAGTGAGAAATGTTCTCAGAATATTCTAGAATGAGACACAATTTGGTTTGTATTAAAACATGTTGCGCTTTGCTCATACTTACCACAAAACTGAGCAAATCAGCTTTTCTTTTCTTCTCTTTTCTGACACTCTCAACTCTGTTGGACAGCTTTAAATGCCAAGTATTAGAAATGTCTGCCCTTGCCCAAGCTCTTCAAAATTCCTGCGATGGTGGAACATGTTTTTGTGTGGGAGGACTGTTCTGCCAAGCAAAGCTGTTTTAGTCCTGATTCTTTTTTTTTTTTCTCACAAGAAAATCTTGTTCTTGCACCGCCAAATGTTTTCTTGTGACGGGGGCCAAACAAGAAAGGGCCTATAACAAGTAAAAGGGCACCAGCAGTCTAAGTCTGTCTTACAGTGCAATAGAAATATTTACCTCTTACAAATGTTTTAAATAAGTAAATATAAATAAAAGTAATCAAAAATTACCTGTATGAACACATATAAAGTTTTCAAATGATGATTTGAGGGAGAAAAAAAACTGTCAAACCAAATAAATCCTGTGGGAAACTGTAGCTTTACTTGTAGATATTAAAGAACTAACTGTGATAAACCAATATGTTTTGGTTACATTTCACAAGCAACATCTAGGTTTGATTTAAAACCAATAAATCAATTAAATGGGACTTATCTGGCTACCTGAAGTAAGCTACTAGATCTCTAAAAGCAGCAAATTACACCCTGATCTAAATATATCCAAGTACAGATCAGAAACATACATTATATATCTGATAAGGGCTACAAAGGCACTTCTAAAGCATTTGGATTTCAGCAAGCTAGATGGAAAAAGCTCTTATAGGGAGGACATTTTGTGCTTTAAAGACTTATCAGACCTTCTATGCCTCAGTTAAGATGGTGTTGGTTAAAAAAACAACAACACAAAAATAACATCCACCAAAGAAAGGTTAAAAAAAGTCAGTTTTACCTTTTTGTTAGATCTTTTGGTGGTGGAGGTGTAATGCTCAGGGCCTGCTTTGCTCCTTTATGAATAGAATGACTTAATATATTTGCTTGCTCTTCTTAAAATGTCTTCACTTAGAATATCCAAAGCACTTGGGTTTTATGGCAGGACAAGGCTTAAAGTACACCCTCCAATGAGGACATTAGAACCCTTTTCAAAATAAGAGTAAGCCAAAGCTAATCCATGACAATGATTCGTTGCAAATGATCACAATTGCTTAAATGTGCTGGCACATGTTCACAAGGGTGGCACAACCAATTCTTAGGTTTAGGGGGCTTTTTTAAAACAGGGTCTGATTTGGATAGCTTTTACACAAATGATTATTTTGTTTTTACTCAGGTCGTCTTCACTCACTTTTAAATTAGTTTGATATGAAATATTTAGGAATGACAAAAAGGAAAAACCAAAATGAATAGTAATGAATGTCGACATCACCTGAAAGAAGTTCAAAATTGTGGACAAATTCTTTCAAACTTACAGTATATTTTACCCCCACAGAGCCTGTAAACCTCCTCCGAATGTACATTTTTCAAATTGAATCCCCACGCTTATAGCATCATTTACAGTGAAAGGCTGTGAGGGAATTCTGAGTGGGTTTTTGGGGAGCCCCTTAAGCGTTTCTCAACACAGCGAGGCCCCAGCGTCGCCTTCACCTATCTGCAGCTGGTGTGCAGCTAAGCACGACGGTGTGGCGGAGCATGTGGAAATCACCATGAGACGTGTAGATATTCAATGTCCAGTCATCCATGATGGAGGTCTGGGATGTTTTGTCTCAAGGGAATTGAGGTGAAACCTAGCATTATATGGGACTGCAGAAATAAAGGGGAAGAGGATACCCCCCTGAGGTCCATTTAATGGGACTTGCAAACAATATGATAAAGTTACACAAAGGGAGACTTTTCTCTTTCAGAAATTGTTATCAAGCAGGAGTTTTGTAATTTTATAAAAGGTCTCCTGTACACAAAAACAGGTTTGTAAGGTAATCTGAATGTCAATGTCATTTCTCTGGAATTTACACAATTAGTTTGAGATTTAACTTTCCATCTGACATGTGACTTCCAGTCTAATGCAACTTACCCAGATTCTTACCAGAAGCCACATCAGATACAGATAATTAGGTATACAACTACTCTCAGTGTGTGCGTGTGAGAGAGAGAGAGAGTGAGAAAGAGAGAGAGAGTGAGAAAGAGAGATAGAGAGAGAAAGAGCGATAGAGAGAGAGTAAGAAAGAGGAGGAGTATCAGAGAAGGAAAGAAAAGAGGGAAGAAAGAGACTCACCGCTCATTAAACGGTAAGCCGGGTTCTTTTCAAAACTCAGTCAGCTTAGACTTTCCCTCCATTGCACACGCGTACATAGACACACACCCATACACGCTTCGTCTAAAACCCAAAGGAGAAGTGGACAGGGGCACCAGTCTTCAGTCGCTGTGGTTGGCTATGGCTCAGGGCTCTGACAGCAACGACACAAGTTACAAGTCCCCATCACCTGGAAGCAGACCGGTAAGTATGCGCTTTTTTTTGTTTACCTTCTTAATCTATCCTCTAATAGTCTTACCGAAGGCATACACACATACATCAAACATCTCCTTTTTTAGATATCTCTCTATTTAATGAGCACACTTCACGACCACCGAGGCTCTCAGGTGGATCTTTTTTTACAGGTTCTCTGGGTGTTTCATTTGCACACATGGGCTGGAGGCATGGCTTGCCTCAATTGTAGACTTTTTTTTTTAATGCCCAACTTATCATTTTCTCAAGTCATGGAAATCCTTGTTTTGTGCAATTCCTAAAAACTGTGAATGGTGTAAAAGCTGTCAGGAAGTCATAGTTATTTAAATGTTAGCCTTGTGCATCAACTGCCTTCACATGTGCAAGCCTTTAGTGATAATGGCAATTCAGTTGGGAGTGTGTGGTAGCATTTAAGACTAGACTGACAGACAAACAAAGAGACAGTTGTTATCTCTTTGATGTACAACTGAATCAGCATTTTGAGATGGATTACTTATTGTGATACCAAGAAAACTGAGCGTTGGGGACTTGAAACAGGGTGTGCGTTTCACCTAACAGATGACTCAGCCACTCCCTGACCCTACCCTTTGCAATTGATGCAATGCAAACCCCATCTCCTGTTAAACTGCATAGACATACATGATGCTGCCAGCTTTAGCCACCAATAATAGCTAAAATATACAAGTAATATATCATTTATTATGACGGTTTTGTGTTGTTCGAACTGAAAGGTGGTTGTGTTCTTGCCAGAGCTCCTCAGACGATGCAAAGAAGGTGATGAGGAGAGAGAAGAACCGGATTGCAGCCCAGAAGAGCCGGATGAGGCAAACTCAGAAAGCTGACAGCCTTCACTTGGTATGAAAACTAAAGACTTGGCCACAAACATCACACCCAGAAAACAGACGTGCACATGAAATGTGCTTGCAGATGATCTTTAGTATCTTCTTCGAAAAGATAGTTGATTATAATGTATATTTATCTACAGGATGTGTTAAAGACAGCTCTGGCTGGAAAAACAGGTGGCTTGACCTTTATTTACAAAAGTGCCTCTTTGCATGAGAACCTGGACAGAACTTTATGTCTCTGGGAATGAGTTTTGTACTATATTTACAAAATGCTACCTGACCATGTGGTGATGTGTCATGTCTTCTGCTGGGCTGAAGACTTGGGTGCCTTTCTGTGTGTTTGCAAAAGAGTAAGGAATAAATTAACACGTGTGGGCAAGGAAAAGTCCAGCGCCAAGACTGCAGCTCTGCTGAGCTTGATGACTGGAGTGAGTCTTCAGTTAGTTCATTTAATGTGATAATTGTGATCAGCTTAGATAGATTTCCAGGTTCAGGTATTCCTTTCTTCTACAAAACATTTATTAATTCAATAAATATTAATTTCCAATCTTCACAATGTTATTTTTCTTTTCTTTTTTTTTTTCTCTAAAAGACAATGTGCACTATAATACTGTGCTCTGCTAACGTATTATCAGAACATTAGTTTCTATGAACTTTATCAGATCCTTTCTGTTCCTGAAGAGATGTTGACCTTAAAAAAAATGCCACATTGTAGGCTGTAGTAGATTCTGTGAAACGGATCTGAATGTATGAAGCTCGTTCCAGAGAAACAGGTCGTATTTTATCAATCTCTTTAAAACCCTGTCGCATTCACAAAGAACAGCAGGGGACCACAGAACATGCTCTGTGGTTTTGCTTTCGTCGTCTCGCTAGATAAACAGGAAGGTGAATTTTTTCCCTTGTTGTGACACAGTCTCTTATTTCCTGTTTCTTCTGTAGTATTTTCTTCTGTGTAAATGAGATTGAATGTTGTGTGTCGTGGGCAGCAGGGGAGAAAAAATGGGCTGTCACTTCTTGTAAAGCCCTGATAGCAGTGGGCTGTATTTGGCTAAGTGACGCATGTAGATGGGGTTTACCCAGAGCTTGTGTGACAGTAAGGACCTGAAGGTTGGTCATGGTGAGATGACCTTTTTACCACCTGAGTGGAAGATTTCTGCCCCACAATTCCCACACAAAAACGTTAGAAAAAAATTTGACAAAAAAGGGAAAAAACATTTTCAGGTTGTGACGTACAATTAACTCCAACTTGATCATCAATGTATGCTTTGGCCTGTTTTGGAAAATGCAGCTCTCAGTCTCTTTGAATGGCAACTCCTCACACTGTGATGCTGCTGCAAGACTTTGCAGGTGGTTTCTCTTGTTTTTCCAGACTTCTGAAACACAGTTTGATACCATATCTTACAGCATTACAAAGAATGCTCCAAGGTTACCTTACATTTGATTCATTTTTATACAGAAGTACAGTATAAAACTAGTTGAGAAGTTGATAGTATTTGTATTTGTTAACAGGAACTATACTTACAGTACAATTACTAAATTTTGGCCTAACATAAAGAGCTTGTTTTATCTGACGTATGAAACATTATTTTCTTTTTAGTTATACACACTCAAAAAGGAAAGTTAATTTATGCACTAGACCAAAAGTTAAATAGTCTATTCAAGCATTTATTTAGCGATCTTTATGTCAAAGAGTAAAGTTTTTTATTACAGCTACCAAAAATATGTTCTGTTCAAGATAGTGTGTTAAAAAATATGAAAACCAGTTAAAAATATCAGCTGTTTACATGTAAATCCATGTCTGTCATGCACTGGCAAGTGAAACAAACCATTGTTAGTGGTTCTGGACAAGGGTACTTTACCCTCAGAGGTGGTTTTAGTATAATGCTAAAGTGCTAGCATGATAACTAATTTGAGAAAAAAAAAAAAAAAAAAACAAGATCTGAAAATAGTAAAATGTCCCTTATTTTTATTTTTTTACTAGTACTTCACCATATGATTTCTTCAGAGAATAGATGCTTGTGTGAGGGAAGGAGGGCCTCCCTGGGGGGACTCCTGAGTTTCATAGTAGATTCAGTGAGTAAGTAGGAAGGGAAATAACAGCAATTACAACTGAAAATGTTTGTTCATTTTTTTTTTTTTTTTCATGTAGGAATTACCTAAATGTAGTTTGTCTATATAAGCAGTGCAACCAAATCGTCTCAAACATTAATAACTGGTGGTATTGGCCTAGTTCTGTTTTTTTTAAAATGACATCACATGTCATGTTTATGATCAACAAGAAATTTAACCGAGGGAAGTTAGTTTTTTCCCCCCAGCTTTATAAAGGGAGTGCTTCAAAATTCCTGAAAATCCCTACTCCGATAAAAAAAAAGAGAATTGAAATTGCAAGAAAATATTTATCAGTCCTCTGCGGTGCAGCTGTCTCCAAATCACACAGCTAAACTCCCATAGAATATATGATGATATAAAACATATTCTTTTTTTTTAGTACTTTGTATCTTAATTAATTTAAAGCCTCATTGGTTTACTGTCTTATTTTTATGCTTTTTACCTATAAGAAATCTTCAATTTTACAGCATTTAGAAAACTGACTTTTAAAGGATTGTTACCCACAGGTAGAAAACACAATAAAGGAACGTATGATTTTAATAACCAATATGGGGTTCCAAGTCTAGATATTACAGGCCCAAAAGTAGAGAATAAGCACACTTAAAAACTAGAAAAATAGATAGAGGACAAATTAAAATTGCTTCAAATCACTATACTTCAATGCTGGTATAAAACTGATGTGTAGTCCTTTTTTCCTGCACTAGTTTTTCTAATTAAGCAATACTAGAAGAAGTCTAATACTATAAATAACCAAAAATGAAATGGTATAATGACAAAAGTATAAATCATTACTGTTATAAAACAAAACAGATTGATTCCTCCATTTCATTACTCTTAACAGAAAATGAGCAATTATCCAAACAGCTGTAAGAATAATTTAAAATTCTCACTCTTTTAGTTCTCATAATAGCAACAGTATATAATTATTGCACTTTGCTGCAAGTAGACATTTTTCTAAACAGCTCCTTTTTTATTTTTGTAAATGTTGGAAAGTGCAGAAGTGCAGCAGCCAGCGTCTTTAAAACAAAGTCCTGAAACAGCTTGGGGCAAAAAGTGCTACTCAGACTCCAGTCACTCTGATGCTTTCTGAGGCATTTTAAAAGGACTTTAATCCTTGGGAACATAGAAAAAATGCCATTTTGAAACCAAAGCTTTTTATTTATTTTTTTAAACCTCTTTAGGTTTATACCTTTAAGAAGTTATAAAATATATATATCTTTAATATTTGTTGATTGATGCAAGAAAAAATGAGGTTTAACCACAAAAAAATTTAAAATTGTTGTTCCCCACAAAAGTTAAGATCTAAAATTTGATTGCTGTGTTTGCAGGAGAGTGAGAACCTGGAGAAGGAGAATGCCGCCCTGAGGAAGGAGGTCAAGCAGCTCACAGAGGAGGCCAATTACCTGTCATCAGTGCTGAGCAGCCATGAGCCCCTATGCACCGGGCTGGCTCCTCAGACCCCAGACCTCCTCTACCCTCCTCATCAGAGCAGCTACCACCGCCAGCACATCGCAGTACCACACTACCAGCGCTGATCTGCTCCAAGCCAGCGGCGAAAACAGATGACGGACCTCAACGGACAGAGACTGACAGGAGATATGTGTCAGTAAGGCGAGAATAGGCAAGATAGGCTAACATGTCCATCAAACAATGAGCCCAACCTGTTACCAACAGTATTCAAGACCTATTTATTTTGCTTCTCCGTGTCTCTTTGCTTTCTTGTTTGTGAATCTTATATGTGAATTTAAATGGCTTGGTAAGTAGAATTATCAAATAGTCTATGTTTACAATGAGGGAGGAAAAAATATATTGTGCTCACATTTTTAAATGCTTATTTTTAGTGTTTTGGAGCACCTTTTGTCATCTCAGGTCTTGTGTTCTTTGTGTTTGTAGGGTTTTTTTGTGTTTGTGTGTAAAAAAATGCTCAGGAGCTTTGACAGTGTTGATTGTGGACAAAGAGAATGTAATTGTAAAAAAAAAAAAAAGAAACTGGAAATTGAAGGATGGGGTATAGTGAGACGACCCAGTGGATGTATTTATTAAATTTGATGCTTTTTCTTTTTCTGAAACATCATCTGTAAACCTTCAAGGTTCATCTTATTCTTTTGTTTGCAAGGACAGCTGGGTGTGTAAAGTCTGCACAGGTGCTGATAAGAAGAACATGTGACAGACGTGGTATTTCTCTGCTCAGGCCTCTGGGTGGCACTGTTTAACAGAGTGAGAGATTAAATTACAGTAGCTTATATTTATAAAGCATAAAATAAATCATTTCAAGGACTGCTCTGTGTGCGGATAAGGATTGATTTTAGCCCTTGGGCTCCACTGTCACCGTTTGCTTGTGCTCAACCTCCGGTGGTCCGAATGAAACCACCTATTATCTGCAGTGTATTAAAGCAGGAAGTACATGTAATAAACTGGCTACAATTGTTTTTATTTTATTACCGACTTGTAATAAAGCAGATAGGATATCTCAATTACTCACGGAGATTTCTGGGTGTATCTAATTACTCGTTATATAGACTGAACTAAGGATACAAGCTGTTCAAAGAGAGTTTCTCCTTATTAAACTCCGCCCTGGTGGCCAACTTTAACCGACTTGTTTAAAGATTTCAAAGCGGCGGGTTTGGGTCCGGGTGGAGGGTCACAGCAGGCGTCCAAACACGTGTTAAATCGACCTCTAATTCTATCTTTATTCATGAAATTTCTTGTTTAACCTTCATTTATCTTCAGGGGGGAAACGTTGACAGTAGAAGTTCATTTCGGGAAGGCAATGTGCCGTCAACTCTCTGCGGTACTTTATTCCTGTTATAAATGAACACCAGAAAAATATGAATTTGTAGAAATTTCTTTGTATTTATTTAACCGTTGGTAGACACTAAAGGGAAGCGGTGCGTTTATTTATTGAGGACTTGAACATGAGCGAGAAACAAGCGTCTGAAGACCGTAAAGTAAGCCCGGAGGAGTCCGGGAACCATGTGAGGGTAGGGGCGCGCGACGCGTCACCGCTCCCCGACGATCAAAGCCCGGAGGACCGCCGCCACGCGCCGCAGGAGACCCGTCTGTACAAACGCCGCTGGATCATCGTGTTCCTCTTTAGCTCCTATTCGCTGTGCAACTCCTATCAATGGATCCAGTACGGAATCATCGGGAACATCTTCGTGAGGTTCTACAACGTGGAAGAATTCACTATAGACTGGATGTCCATGATCTACATGCTGACCTACATCCCGCTCATCTTCCCGGTGACCTGGCTGCTGGACAAGAAGGGGCTCCGGGTGATCGCGCTGGCGGGGACCGGGCTCAACTGCGTCGGGACGTGGATCAAAGTGGTCAGCGTCCGACCCGACCTGTTCGGCGTCACCTTCCTGGGTCAGTTCTGCTGCTCTTTGGCGCAGGTCTTCATCCTGGGGATGCCGTCCAAAATCGCCTCGGTTTGGTTCGGTTCGGAGGAGGTGTCAACCGCCTGCTCCATCGGAGTCTTTGGGAATCAGGTGACGTAAATCTCATCATCTGTTTTCTAATTTAATCACCTGCTTAAATGATTTACGTTCAACTACTTCATTTTGTTGGGAAAACAGGGCTGTCATATTCAAAAGTAAATAAATAAATAAAAAAATCCTTAGATGATCAAAATTACTGTAAAAAATGACATGAATGGACCAGATGAGCCTCTAGAAAGATTCAGTTTGGGGCTATTAATGCTTGTTTTTGTTTATTCCCTTTAAACAGCTCTAAAGCAAAAATAATAAAACAAGTTTTGGTGCAACTCTATTAACTTTTGACTGAGATGCAGGTTCTGGACCTTTTCTTTGACAGAGGGGGGTTTTATGATACATAAACTTTCACACTCCCATCCCACAGCATCACTAGTTTTCTAATTAGCCCACTTAATTTATTATTTTATTTATTTTCTTTTCTTAAGGTGTTATTTTTTTCTTAACTTTCAATCAATTCGTTAATATGGCCTTTTTTTAGACAATTTATGTGTTTCTGTTGTTATTCTTATTTTAAGCTGTTCTTGCCTTCCATACAGGTTAGATCCTTCACACATTTAAAGTTGTGAGATAGTAGTATTTTTTATTTCTCATATTCTTCCATAAATATTTAATAAAAAAATCTCACCATTATATCCATTACAGTGTTTGATTTTCTTACTCATTTGATTGATTGATTGACTTTATTGATCTCACAGTAGAGAAATGTACTCATTACATCAGATAGAAATACTCAAAAAGAGAAGAAGGTGCATTGGATATACAGTATATAGAGTGCATCCCCCTATGACAGCTTTTTCTTTTTCATGGCTTCATGTTGAGTTTAAATGTCCTTATCACCAGTTTTTTTAAATGGCAAGATATCAATATTGATTAACTAAAATTTGGCAAAGGTTCAAAATAAAAGAAAGACAGTCTTACACTAAAAAAAATACTGCTATGACTTAAATCAATTGCTTTAATTAGTAGCAGGTTATTAAATCCAATTTATCAAACCTAATTTATTAAGTTTAGAAGTTGAAAACGCAAAATAAATCAATTTGATCGATTGATTGACTTTATTGATCTCACATTGGAGAAATGTACTCGTTACATCAGCTCAAATAGTCAAGAAGAGAAGAAGGTGTCTTGGAAACAAAGTCCAGTGGGTTATTTTTTAAAACTTTTTCAGGATGCCAAAGAAAGAAAAAGGTGCATGGGATATATACAGTATATACAGTGCATCCACATATGGGCTTTATTATGATTTTTTTAAAGTAGGATTATTATACAGGGTTATTACACAGGCTGTTTACATTGGTATTTATCCACCCATCCATCCATTTTCTGACACGCTTATCCGTGCTGGGCTAGATGGATATTTATATTCTTATATATACACATATATATATATATATATATATATATATATATATATATATATATATATATATATATATATATATATATTCAAATACTTGTTACTAATTGAAGGAATTAAATGAAATTTCAGCAGCCTTTTTCGTTTTGGAGTGTCTCACTTTTTTGCAAAAATTATACCTGCACCCCATCCAACGCGGCAAGATTTGTAAAGACCTGCTGGTGCCATTATTTAACACTCTTGACACTAGAAATGACACTCAAAGGTTTCTGTTTAATTAACACTTGAGTCATCTTCAAATGAAATTGACAGACGTGCTAAAGACTCAGTTCAGGAAAGAGTTTTACTAGATAGTAAAAAAACTGTTTAACAGTATTATAGAAACTGTCCATATGCTTGAATTTAAGACAAATTAAAAAAGATAATGCATAAGGAATACGGGTAGTACTGGAGGGAATGACTTAATTTTTGTTATGTCCGATTTTTCCTTACAAACACCACCAAAACTGTTATGGTTTGCAGTCTGCACTGGCAGGTAGCAGGGACTTGGAAAAATTAACCATTTACCTCAAAACAGGTGTTTTTACCTTTAATTTTTATTATTATGTGTAGTAGAGTTGGTAGGATTGGCTTTGGAAGAACTCATTTCTCATTGAAAACATCACATGACAGGGCTGAAGGTAATGAATATGTGGACATTCTAGTCTGATCACATGCATAATAGGGCGGCATGAACCAGGGGACACACCACTAGTTATTCCGGCTGCATTCGCATCTTTCTGCACGGACCTGTTTCCAGACTAGACAGAAAGCGAATTCTAGAATTTACAAAACCGTTTCTTTTTTGGTGATCCAGGCAGGGGCCCATTTCAGGACAGCTGAAATGTCACAAAACAATACTCTGAAAGGACACCGTGCAAATTCTGAACCCAGCTTCGAAGAATGGCTGCAGTCCCAGGCTGCAAAGAGTCTCACTCCTGGCCTTGCTTCTTTGCAGTGGAGCCCGGGGCCCCTTGGGAAAGCAGTTTCGCCTGGCTCCAAATTGAAAGCTGAGGCTTCAGGTGATCAAGCTGAGCTAATCCAAATAGTCCAAACCAAGCTGTACCGTCGCCGCTGGGTCATGCTTTTTCTCCTGTGTGCAGTTTCTGCTAACAATGCCTCTATGTGGCTCCAGTACGGCATCATTAGTAACATTTTCATTCGCTTCTACAATGTTGATGCCTTGGCCATCGACTGGTTGTCCATGATCTACCTGCTCACCTACATACATCTTATTCTTCCAGTCCTCTGGCTGCTGAACAACAGAGGGATCCGGGATGTTGTTCTTGTCGGGTCAGCATTTAACTGCATCGGTAGCTGGATTAAGATTGCTGGTGCCAGTCCTGACGGGTTCCTGGTGACCTTTTTTGGACAGTTTGTATGCTCAGTAGCCACAGTGTTTTTTCTTGGTATTCCTCCATATGTTGCTTCTGTGTGGTTTGGAGAAAATGAAGTTTCAACTGCTTGCTCCATTGGGGTTCTGGGAAATCAGGTTTGTTTGAAAAAAAAAGGAAACTGATAAAAATAAGCTTTAAGCCAAATTTGATTTAGATGTTTTATTTGAGCTTTATTGTGCATTTTATAGAGAGCATAATAGTGTTATTAATTAGTTTGAGAAAATGAAACCAATTGGTGTGCTTTTCTAGTACTGAAGTCTAATCATTAAAGCAAATAGCCATTTGCTTACGTATTAACTTTTTTCACAGGTTTTCGAGTAAATAAAAACAAAATTTCCAAATGTACATTCATCTAAAGGAATTAGGAGACACACCTAAACATTAAGTTCTTTAAAGAAAAATGTGGGCTTATTGATGTCTACTCCTGTCTTTATTTGTCCCTGAAAAGAAAAGATAATAGAATTGCAGGTTAACACCACGGTTCTGAGATACTAGTATGGGTAATAAATGTCATGTACGATTCTTTTCCTTCCTGATAAGTTTTTTTTTTTATCTCACTTAAGTTTCTTAATAAAAATGACATATACTGCTTTCAAAAACTGCCTTTTGTTTTGATCATTTATTTTGGGATGTGAGCTTTATTTTAAAGGGCAACAAAATTCAAGCCATGAAAAACAATCATATTTCACTAAATGTTCCCAACTAGTGTTGTCACACAGTGAGCAAGTTTATCAGTTATGAGATACATAATCGATTTTCTTGTTACACACAATACACAAGTAAGAATGTATTCTAACAGAGAAAGAGGTTAAGACACTTGACACCTAAAGAATAATGCCACCACCTTTCTCTAAAAAATGAGGTCCATCTTGATTCTCCACCCCATGCCTAAGGGCCCTCTACAGCAGCGTGCAAAGGAAGTTCAACTCTTTTTTTTCTAATTACAGAAGAAGTCAGATTTATTAGTTGAACTGGATATTGCTTTCAATTTCATCATGGTGTTCACTTTCATTTCAACATTCTGGAGCCTACCAAGCTAAATATATCAGATTTGAAAATTGCAATGGTCCTTTTAATTGCTAAGTAATGAAGCAAAAATTGTGTACTTTAGCTGTGATGTGCCTGAGTGAATACATTTCAGGGTGTTCTTATTAGTAAGTCAATATTTTAATTACATTGATTGTACAGAAAGATCGAATGTCTTTCTACAATTTAGATTTTTGATTTGCTGTATTTTCCAGTATTTTGACAATTTCTACATAGAAATATCACCTAATTTACAATAAGGTGGCATGTTTTCATTTTTAAAGTTTATTCTAATTCTTTGTTATCTCGTTCATCAACACAGCTGGGTTGTGCCATTGGTTTCCTCTTACCTCCAATCCTGGTGCCTAATGTAAATGACATGGACGAGCTGGCGAACCACATCCGGAACATGTTCTACATAACAGCAGGAGTGGCAACATTTCTCTTCATCCTTGTTGTCTTTGGTAAGATGAATCTTCTGCATTAAAGTCCACTCACTAGTTTATTTTATTTAGAATTATTAAAAAAGTAAATATGTGTGGAATATGATTGCATCCACCCAGTTGTATTTGAAAGATGTAAGCTGCAGCCGTTTTGACTTTTACAGAAAATTATGCTCCTAAAAATGTGTTAAGATGCTTCATCATTTTTTTTATTGACACATGACTCACTTGCAAGATCATACTTTAGAGTATTTCTTTTTTTATTGTGAACCCCAACTCTAAACCTTCCTTCCTTCCTTCCTTCCTTCCTTCCTTCCTTCCTTCCTTCCTTCCTTCCTTCCTTCCTTCCTTCCTTCCTTCCTTCCTTCCTTCCTTCCTTCCTTCCTTCCTTCCTTCCTTCCTTCCTTCCTTCCTTCCTTCCTTCCTTCCTTCCTTCCTTCCTTCCTTCCTTCCTTCCTTCCTTCTAGAGATATCAGGGTAAAGGGGATAAAGATATAAGCACAGCACAGATTTTAGATTGTTTTAACTCTAAAAAGTGAAAAAAATGAATATTTTCTTTTTTCTACTTTAAATTCCTTCCTTCCTTCCTTCCTTCCTTCCTTCCTTCCTTCCTTCCTTCCTTCCTTCCTTCCTTCCTTCCTTCCTTCCTTCCTTCCTTCCTTCCTTCCTTCCTTCCTTCCTTTTTAGAGATATCGGGTAAAGGGGGTAAAGATATAAGCACAGCACAGATTTTAGATGGTTTTAACTGTAAAAAGTGAAAAAAAATAATATTTTCTTTCTTTCTACTTTAAAGTTAGGGAAAACGTTGTGTTGATTTGTTATAAAAAAATCGTAATAAAAAAAAAAAACCTAGAAAATTTGGGTTGTAAGGCAGACAAATTGTGAAAAAAGTTTAAGAAGCACAAGCGCTGTATTAAGACTGTAGAGGTGAAAGAAAACCTTATAGAACAGCTTGGAGAGAAAAACAGGCCCATACTTGGTGTATGATGATCCCTAGGGCTTTTAATCACCTGTTTTACAGACTATTATATAAAATCCAAATTAACATTTGGGTATATTAATTTACCTCCTTAGTTTTGTGACAGCAGAGCTTAAGATTAAATTTAAACTTTTAGCATGTTTATTCAGCATAAAGGATAACAAGATATTCAAAGGCTGTTAAATTCTGAATCTTTGTAATGATTAATTTTATTAAATGTGATGTTACTAAAAATTAAAGCTATTTTTTATTTGTGCATGGATTAATAAGTAAATTTCCAGTCATGGACTCAAGTTCCCTGAAGAAAGGCTTTATAATTTTAGCTGGTCCTGTTTTCCCAGCAGAGCTCAGACAGTTAGAGGCGTATTGTGAGAGTTTCTCCTTGTCGTGGCTAATGGGGATTCTTCATTCAGCAAATCTTTGCAGTAATGGTTTTAATTTCCACACTCTGACTGAAAGCATTATTCAACAGATGGGAACCCCCCCCCCCCAAAAAAAAAAAGCAAGGACATGTGGCTAAACATTGGGAGATTCACATAAATGCACATTGTAGTTTTAGTCCAGTCAGGCAGACATTCCTTTCCTGGACAAAAAATCAACAGTATTATTTTATCACAGCAGGGTTTGTCACTGATACATCAGGAACAAAGAACGTATGGCTACAGGAATATTCAGCACATTGTAGTAAAAGGGAAGTGGCGTGACTTTTGATAATGCACAGGATGCATGATGTTTGGAAAAGTGCTAACATGCAGTGACCTTTTAAATTCTCTAGAACATGCATTTTTTTACTTCCTACTTAAACATTTTTATCCAGCTGTAAAACCTTTCTAGAACTGACTTAAATTGATTGACATCACTATTTGAGTCACCAAGATCTAACTTCTGCAGCATGTTTAAGGACATTAAATTAATGACACAGCAGAAAATAGAAAACATTTTTTTTAATATAGTGGAGGAAAACATTGAATGAGAATCGCCTTCTGTGAGCAGAGAAAGGGTGGGAGCACCCGCAAGCACTCGAGCATTCCTTAAAACAAAAGGATGTTTGTGAAGGCATTCTATGTTGTACCATGCACAACATGTCAAATAAACACTGTTAGTGTTAACTTGTGTTGATAGCCTCCTGTTGTGATTAACTGCAAACTTCAGCTAATTTCTTCAACATGTGACCAGCTCAAAGACGCATCACATGCATTTTTTTTATCTCACTACTTCAAATGCATGGTTAATAGCTGCAAAACTTTTGACAAAGTAACATATGTTAGTTAAACAGATCTTTTTTTATGCAACTTTATGTAATAAGGTGATAGCTGTTCAGTAGAATGTTTTATAAAAATGAAAACCTAAAACCTAACTAAAAAAAACATTGATTGCAGAATTTTTAATGTCAGCAATGTTAAAAGTATTCTGTCCAGTTTGTTTAAGACTGTTTGTCTTTCTTTTCTTGGCTCAAAGTTATATAACGATGCTGAAGAAACTGCATAATCTTAAAACTTTGCCTTTTGAAATCAGGTCACGTTTCCATGGCTTAACTCTTTTAGTGAGAGGACTTTTGCATAGCAGTGCACTAAGCTTAAGAAACATTGCTTAGTCTAGCATTAAGACAGGGGAACTGTGTGTATGTTTGCGTGGGTGTTAGCTCAGTTCTAGCATTTCACAATTTAAAAATTGTCTACTAACTGACAAGTGGTACTTTTGTTTCTGTATCTATTTTGATTTGGTTTTAATTTTGACAAATTTGCCAAAAAGCAAGTTAGCTGGAGACAAGCTTGACTAGTGGTTAATAATATGAATGGATGAATGGGTGAATGGGTGGATGGATGGATGGATGGATGGATTGAAGAATGGATGGATAGATTAATGGAAGATTAATAAATTGATGGATGGATGGATGATGGTTGGATGGGTAGTTGGGAGAAAGGATAGATAGATGAATGGATAGATTGATTGATGGATGGAGGGATGGATGGATAGATGGATCAATGAATGGATGGTTGGATGGATAGATGGATCAATGAATGGATGGTTGGATGGATGAATTGATGGATGGTTGGATGGATGGATGGATGGATGAATGGATGGTTGGATGGATGGATGGATGAATAGATGGTTGAATGGGTGGGATGATGGATGAATCGAATAATGGATGATGGATGGGTGGATGATGGATGGATAGATGGATGCATGAATGGATGGATGGATGGATGGATGTATGGATGGATGGATGGATGGATGGATGGATGGTTAGGGGTTCCATCAGAATGAAGCAACCATGAAACGGACTGCATTTGAAACCAGCTGCCAGAGTGGATAAGTTTGAAGCCGCTTCCAATATAATCTCACAATTGGCTAAAACTGGATGTAGCCTAAAACTACCTATGCTCTGTCTTTATCAAATTGTCCATAGATGGGTTAGCTCTGTATCTTTTGCAGACACTCTCTTAAAAACAGGCTGACACCTTTGACAGGTCGCCACTCCATCACAAAGCAATACAGACACATTCATGGCAAACAGTTAACGGAAATTTAGAGTAACAATTTAAAGCATTAGTCATATCTTTTTTTGTCAAAAAAATGAGAGGTAATGGAGAGTGGGGAAAGTTACAACATGTAGCAGTTGCAACATTGTAAAATTAACCAATACGCATTGAGCACATGCTGAGTAATGTCCTCTTTATTCCTACAAGACAGGAGACACATCCCATTATTCCTTTAGGGAGAACTGAAAATATGGGTAGAAAGTGATGTTTTTAATTATTGTTTTTTTGTGATTGTATCTACACTGTCTGTATAAATAACTTTACAATTATTTAGTCTGGAACAGCAGTTCCCATGCTTCTAACAGGCATAGACACCTTGAGGCAAAACCAATTTATTAAGCAAGCATAGTTAGTTTAAAGGGGTTAGTTAGAGTGAGGGACAGCTAGCTGTCTAGGTTTTTATCAAATTGTTCTTCAAGGGTTTACCCGAGTTGCAGGATACATATTCTACATGTTTTCTACTGTACCCCCCCCCCAGTATGCTACAATACAGGAAAATGATAAATAGTGAAGAAAAAATGTTGAATAAGCCAATAAGTGAAAAAAGGGGCATGAAAACTGAGTGTCATGATGCGTGGTTGGTTTGCTAGCCCAAGGATGCAGAACTCCACAGACTCAGAGGCAGGATTAAAGTCCAATGTTTATTTGGATGAGCACAGGGTTCTGCCCTGGAAGGCAGGGGAGACAGAGTACAGGTTAAACTCAGGGATAGATTAACAAACTGAAACTCACTGGTTTGCTGGTTCAGGCAGGCAGAGTAGCACAGGTAACGGACATGGCAAGGCGTGGCAAAACGTGGTAAACATGGCAAGGAACAAAGACTAGGGAACCCATGGCTAGGCTTGGAAGCTTGGAAACGATCCGGCTACGAGTGAAGCTGTCACACAGCTTATATGGGGAGAGGTTAATGAGCAGAGCTGATGGGAAACAGCTGTGCGCTGAGAACCAGCTCCCAGGAGAGGATCCATGGCGCCCTCTGGTGGGCAAACCTCTGGATCCCAACAGAAACAGAAGCCCAGAAGAAGGGATACAAACAGAAACAGAAGCTACAGAATGGGATCCACACCGCCCTCTGGAGGGCAACCCTTGGATCCCAACAGTACCCCCCCCTCAAGGGCGGATACCAGACGCCCAAAAACAGAAAACCAGAAACAAAAACAACCCACCTAGGGCGAACAGAGGGGGAAACAGGCACGGAGGGCCAGGCACAAAAAACAGATCAGGAACCAGAACTCAAAACAACCCACCTAGGGTGGGCGAGGACAGAGAAAGTCTCAGGTGACCGGCCGAGGGGCCGGTAGCAGGGCTAAATCTCAGGTGGCCTGCCGTGGGACCGGCAGCAGGATAGAGTCTCAGGTGGCCGGCCGTGGGGCCGGGGACAAGGCTTAGTCTCTGGTGGCCGGCCATGGGGCCGGCGGAAAGGCAGAGTCTCAGGTGGCCGGCCGAGGGACCGGCAGCAGGACAGAGTCTCAGGTGGCCGGCCGTGTGACCGGCAGCAGGACAGAGTCTCAGGTGGCCGGCCGTGTGACCGGCAGCAGGACAGAGTCTCAGAAGCTGCAGGGGCCTTGGAGGAGGACACCGTTTCTGCTTCAGCAGGAAGCACAGAGGAAGAAGCCATCTCTGCTGCTGCAGGAAGCTCCGAGGAGGACGCCGTTTCTGCTGCTGCAGGAAGCTCCGAGGAGGACGCCGTCTATGCTGCTGCATGAAGCTCTGAGGAGGACGCCGTCTCAGCTGCTGCGGGGAGCGTCGAGGTGAACGCCGACTCAGCTGCTGCGGGAAGCGTCGAGGAGGACGCCGTCTCAGCTTCAGCGACACAGCAACAGGCTCGGCAGCAACCGACGACTGTGGCTCAGGGGAAGGCTCAGAGGAAAGCGTCGACTGCAGCCCAGGAGGAGGCTCAGAGGAAAGCGTCGACTGCAGCTCAGGAGGAGGCTCAGGGGAAGCCATCGACAGTAGCTCAGGGGGAGGCTCAGAGGAAGCCGCCGACTGCAGCTCCACCCCAGGAGCAGGGGAGACCACCGATCGCGGCTCCACAGGAACACAGGTGGCTGCAGATTGCGCCTCCGGATCAGGAACAGAAGAGGCCGCCCATTGCGGCTTCACTTCAGGAACAGGGGAGCCCGCTAGCTGCGGCTCCCGGTCAGGAACAGAAGAGGCCGCCCATTGCGGCTTCATATCAGGAACAGGGGAGCCCGCCGGCCGCGGCTCCCGGTCAGGAACAGAGGAAGCCGCCCATTGCGGCTCCGCATCAGAAGCTGGGGAAACCACTGACTGTGGTTCCACAGGAGGAGGCTCAGAGGAAACCGCCGACTGCGGCTCCACCCCAGAAGCTGGGGAGACCCTCGATTGTGGCTCCACAGGTAGACAGGTGGCTGCCGGTCGCGGTTCCGGATCAGAGACTGAGGAGGCCGCCCATTGCGGCTTCGAATCAGGAGCAGGGATCCCTAGACGCCTCCAGATCTCCTGCACAAGACGATTCCACTCCTCATCTACTCGGCACAGCTCCATCTCCACCTCTCGTAGATAATTCCCAAAACTCCGGTGCATCCGCTTCCTTAAGTTCTGCTCAGGGGTCTCAGGAAGGCAGGAAGCGGGCTCAGGGGCTAGGGAGGCCGCTAACTCGTAGTAGTGTCGTAGCAGCGCCTCCCACTTGGGAGGCAGTGGACGGCGCTGAGCGGGCCTCACCAGGTGAGCGTGGGAGTCTGCTGGGCTAGTCTGTTGGCCGGATCGTTCTGTCATGATGCATGGTTGGTTTGCTAGCCCAAGGATGCAGAACTCCACAGACTCAGAGGCAGGATTAAAGTCCAATGTTTATTTGGATGAGCACAGGGTTCTGCCCTGGAAGGCAGGGGAGACAGAGTACAGGTTAAACTCAGGGATAGATTAACAAACTGAAACTCACTGGTTTGCTGGTTCAGGCAGGCAGAGTAGCACAGGTAACGGACATGGCAAGGCGTGGCAAAACGTGGTAAACATGGCAAGGAACAAAGACTAGGGAACCCATGGCTAGGCTTGGAAGCTTGGAAACGATCCGGCTACGAGTGAAGCTGTCACACAGCTTATATGGGGAGAGGTTAATGAGCAGAGCTGATGGGAAACAGCTGTGCGCTGAGAACCAGCTCCCAGGAGAGGATCCATGGCGCCCTCTGGTGGGCAAACCTCTGGATCCCAACAGAAACAGAAGCCCAGAAGAAGGGATACAAACAGAAACAGAAGCTACAGAATGGGATCCACACCGCCCTCTGGAGGGCAACCCTTGGATCCCAACACTGAGTTTTATACGTTAATAACTTGTTGTTGCAACTGTTCCCTTGACGTTGGATGTTGCAACGGTCGCCAATCTCTGTTTAACCACATTATAGTGTTACATCAGGTTCTAAAATCATGCTCTTGTATGGGTTTGTAAAAGAAAAGATGTGACTTTTGCTGTGTTCACATATTTTTATTCAATTATAAATAAACACTGAGATATTGAAGGAAAAGTAAGAAATGTTGCAGCCAACCCCATTCTCCCCTACTCAGAGATCATGCAAAGGAGATGTGCTGTAAGGAACAAGCCCAGGCCCCACTTTAAACATAATATTTTAAAACAAACAAAATATAAAGAAAAATTAGCGACAAAAAAACACCAAAACAAAAAGCTCAGATAATCTAAAAAGCAATACCATGCTAAGCTAGAGATATAAGATAAGTTAAAGTAATATCTTTGCTTCGTTTTACTTTTGACATCACAGTCATGACGGTGGTGTTTAATTACAAGAATAAAAACTTTTTTTCTCCAAAAAAGAGCTACAAAAACGCTTATAGTGATATAAACTAAGCTAAACTGAGTGCAAGAAAGCATGTTAAGATAAATATCTGAAAGGAAAATGTAAATAAATTTAACTTAAAGAAGTTAAGAAGCTAAGCTCAGCTAAAATGTTAAATGTAGTTCAAACAAAAAACTAAAAAAAAACAAAATTTCTTAATAATAATCTAATTATATGCTAATTCATTTTCTTTTCACTTGATGTGTTTAACTAGTTTAGTTTTTTTTTCTATTACTTAAAAATAAACTTAAAAATATCCTGAGTATTTCAAGACATTTCAGAGTTTCTGATTTTCTTCATTCATTCAAATAATAACACAAAAATGCATAAGCCACACTTGGATCTCTTCATTACTTTAAAGGGTAATTATATTCCAGCCAGTTTCATCATATGACACATACACATCACACATTCACACTTCAATGCAAAATGCCATGTGTTAGGGCTGTCCTGCTGGGAGGGCCATCTGTAGCCCAGCAACAGTCCTGTGAGTCAGCAGGGCAGACAAAGTCCTGCAAACGAGAAATTTGCATAAACTGTTAATGGAGGTGAGAGAACAAGTTCGACTGCTGCACTAGTTAGTAAAATGGCAACGGCCACACATGCATGTAAAAATAAACAGCTTGTTTTAAAAAAACCTATACTTTGTGAACTTTTATTGTGTTTTTTTTTCCCTTCAGATATTAGTTACATTAATCTGAGTGGTTATTCTCCACCAGAATGAGTCCTACTATATATTTGAAAAAATGTCTTTACAGTTTGTGGATAGTTACTGGTTCCCTAGACCTTCCAAAGAAAAAAGATGTTCAAGAAATGCAGTGACACACAACTGTGGGGGCGGGTTATCTAGAAGAGAGGAGAGGACCACAAAAGCAGCAACAGCTGATAAAAGCTCCCAGAGCGGGAAAGTTTGAAGCCTCCCCCTGCAGCTGCTAATGGCATTGCCAGAAAACCTGTTGTGTTTGCTCATGCTGGCCATGTCCACCAATATGCATGTGTTGAAATAAAGAAGTGCTAACAGAGTTTGAAATGTTTTTCAGGATCTGTTTTTGGAAGATATTAATTTTTTTTTACTTATTTTATAGATTTTACAACAACACATCTTGCTTTTCTGTCGTCGGTCCATGCAAACACCTATCTCTCTCTTGCGTTCATTTGTACTTTGGGCTCTTCTTCCTTCATTCTTCCTTCACTAGCTCCTCTGGCTTTAGGTGCTTTAATTTTTACACCCAGTGATTGAACATATGTTGGCTTTATCAATTTTTTTTTAAATATATGTGAATTTATAAGTATAAAGAAAGCGATAAACACACCAACTCAACTAAAATGGGAAATATTTAATATGTTTTAATATCAGATAATAATAAAAAATGTTTATTTTTATTTTTAAAAATGTTTACTCAACTCTTTTAACAAGTGTCTGTACATATTTGTAGTTGACTATACCTCACCTTTTTTATTTCTCCACATATATCAGTTTTCCAAGAGCGTCCGAAGCTTCCTCCGACTCTGGCGCAGGCCTCAGCTCTCACAATCCCAGCGGAGGAGTACTCCTATAGGGCATCTATCCTCAGGTTGCTCCGAAACAAGCCCTTTGTTCTCCTCATCATCAGTTATGGTCAGTCAAATGCTTTCCTCTGGTTCATGCAAAATAAAGCTACTAATCATTTCGCCACTATACTGCATTTATTATTTGACTGTTAAAAATGTATATAGTTTTTTTTCCATAACATAAATTGTTTCTGCAAGAAAATCAACATGAACTGTGCATATGACCTTTTTGGGTCAACACTGACATCACTACAGTAAAGGGTTTTCCCAGTAAGCCTGTGGTTTCGTTTATTGTCTGACAAGTAAAGGAGGGGTTGGCCCTCGATACTTAACTAGTTGTTACATCTTATCAGCATTTCATGCATGAATGCATACACACATTCATTAGTTATTGGAATCTCCACTGAGATCTTCCTGGATTGGTAGTTTGCTGCTGCTAATGTTGGGTTTCACCAACGTGACTGAAATATTGATAAGTCATGATTGTTCAATTATTAGAGCACCAAGAATACATTTAATTTCCAACACATTGAGTGAATCATTTGAAAACGACTGTTTTGAGATAATATTTCACAACTATATATATATATATATATATATATATATATATATATATATATATATATATATATATATAGATAGATAGATAGATAGATAGATAGATAGATAGATAATCTGCCCTTTAATCATCAGAAATTTGTTTGTCCTCTAAAAAATACATTAAGTCTTACATTTTTCTGTGTTTTTCACTTTCATTTTAAGTAACTGATTTTTTTGGTTTTAATCTTCCTCATTTTGCTTTCATATGAAACAATAACTGCACAAAAGTTAAGAGTGTCAGCAGTCATTGGTTGTGGGTCTTCTTGTCCTTTTCCCTTATGCAAATAAACCTTAGGGCTACAATTCAATGGACGCAGCTGCCTTTGCTCGTCTCTGTCAATTTACTCAACACATGCTGTTTTTTCTTATTGTTCAGCTGGATTCTAACTCTTTATTTGTGAAATATTCACAGTTCATTGCCATTATTATTAGAAACCTTTTTTATAATTTGTGATTTAATGATTGATCTTAAAAAAAGATAACAGCTACCGGTAGTTATGTGTTGATTGCCAAACATGTTACAGTTTAATACACTTAACAGTTCTTAGAGAAATAAAGGGGAAACTTGATATATTTATGTTTAATTAATACATTTCTTTTTAATAGAATGGAATAGAATAAAAAAAAATCCTTTTATTGTCCCACAATGGGGAAATTCTGGTATTTACAGCAACATAAAGATTATAGACACAATGGTCACACTAATGTGGACATTTTTCTCTATAATCTTTGCTTTAGCAACACATTATTATTATTATTTTTTTTTTTTTTTTTTTTTTATAATAAAAAAAAAGCAACACATTATAACTTTTAGCCACTAGGGGCGCTGTAGCAATAATTTCCATCTGAACCTCTTAAATTACAAAGGTAAGTTTTTTTTTTGTAGGGCAGCCTTCAAACAGCATCAGTTAGCACCAGGTTTTGTGTATTGACCTGAAAAAATAAATTAGTATATCTCAAATCAAGCTAACACTTAGGTCAAACATTATGATTAAGGTTATTTGGATTCTAAACATGTTTAAATTAATTGAATATATAGCTGAATAATAAACATAAAAAAGTTTCCCAAAATTTCGATTTTTTTTAGACTTTGAACATCTTCTAGAAAAACACTTCGTGTTCAGTTGCCTAATCTGAACTTCTTGAGCTAGACTTTGTATTAATGTATTTTAAATACATTTTTAGGAATTGATTTGATTAGTTTCTCGTAGTGTGTTTTTTGTATAATATAAACATAATATATTGAGTTTTTTAATTTACTTTATCTGATATCGAATTTAAATTCAAATTTGCTGATGTTTAAATTTTATTTTACATTCTTGCTAACTGTGAAATCAATGTCATTGGGTGATGCTATGGAGCAGATGATTGGTCTGCAGCCGACCACTACTACTTCATCAATGACTGTAGCATGAAATAGATGCTAGATTAAAGATATAAAGTTCTAAACAATGAATTTGGGCTACATTTAAATAATCTTTCTCAGTTTGTTTTATCTATTTTTAATCAAACTAATAAATTTAAAGTTTTTACATTTATAGAATAGTGTTTATTCATTGGATTGTGGAACTTTAAGCACTCAATACTTGAGAAGTGGTGTGTCTGGTTGTCCAAAGTAAAGTTTTTGATAATCGGTTTAAATAAATAAATATACCGCTGTCTTCTCACAGGTCTGAATGTGGGTTGTTATTACGCTGTTGGAACTCTGCTGAACCGCATGATCCTCAAGCATCACCCTGTAAGTACAAATTCCATTCCCAGCTATCTCTGACTCAGACATGATTGTTTTTAGAGCTGCACTGATCGATCTAGCCAATGATGGGAGTCGATCATTTTTCCCTCGGCTTGTTACTTCAAAACTGAAAGCTGTCCCTTTTCTCAGCTGACTGTTTCAAACAGCTGTTTTATATCTATTGAATATTATACTTCAGTTGCAATTTACTTACTAAAACAGGGCTACTCTCTAATTTATTGGATAAGCCAGTGCATTGTTTTCTCAGGAAGTATTTCAACTGATCTGGTTCATAATAAAAAAAAAAAGAAAAAAAAAGAAAAAGCATGGATTTGTTTACTTAAATGTCAATAATGTCACAAAAACTTCCAGAAAATATACGAACTGATAGGACAAGTATGGATTTAAAACCACAGACATCATAGGAAAAAAGGCTAATTTATAATTTCGTCCAGTGTAGCTTACTGCCTTATGTTAAAATCAGCTTCCTTTCACTCCTCCCTATTAAACACTGGTAAAAGGTCTAAAAGTCTCTTGTTATACAGAGTTGCATGAACATCTGCGCTGGGCTCTGTACAGCTTATTTTATTTGATTATCTCTTTGTTGCTCGTTTAGACCTTGAGATAACCTGCTCTTGTCATGTTTCTTGTTTGGCGATCTGACAGGACCAAGAAGTGAACGCTGGGAGGATTGGGCTCACCATTGTCATTGCAGGGATGGTGGGCTCCCTCATCTGTGGCGTCTGGCTGGACAGGAGTAAGACGTACAAGTGAGTCAATGGGAGGGTAGCAGAAAGGAGGAAGTTGAACTTGTTGAATTAAAAACTCTGTCATTAAAAGGAAATAAATAATATCTCTAACATGCAGTCACACTTTTTTAAATTGTGGTTTAAGACATTTTTGCATTTTTCAAAATCAGAAACTCAGTTTTTCAGTTAGGCAGCAACACAAACTGTTTTGTAATTACTGTCCGGTTCCTCCTCTCTTCTTCTTTAGTGTTTATCTGTAGGCTGTTTGGTCTAAGCGGTTGTTTAACCAGGTGCAGCATGCTTTTTTAACAGTGACCCCTCTGATCGTCCTCAAGGGCCCTCAGCCTGTGCTGACTCCCATGATTCTCAGCTGTTTTACTTTCAGGAGCCATATTCTGCAAATATGATGATGCAGAAGGATTATTTCCCATATTTTTAAAAACCTGCTAAACACGATAAGATTGGTTGTTTGATTAGCATGGGAAAGGTTCAACTGTTTTGCTTTTTGTTGTCCAGTAATTCTGCTCTAGCTGCAGGTGATTATTAACTTTAGCTCTGGCCTTTAAAAGACAAACAAGCAGCTTTGCAATGTAGGTGAACCACCTGAGGCTGTAAGAGTGGGTGCAGCTCACCTTTCCTGTAAAGGAAATACCCAAAATGCCTCACTGACGCTGAAAACTTTGTCTGAAACCTGTTGAACCAAAGAAAAGTTTTCACTGATTTTAGCAGCTCCCTGTCAGCCCTGCTGTGTGGCGTCCCTCCAAGCATTAAACTATAAATCATCTGGAAAAGTTGCAGGTTTCAGTCCTTGCGGTGAAACACACCACAGCATGGATGTTAGAGTGCCATGCCCTCACATTTTTTGATGTAGAAGAAATCCTGTGGGTGTTCAGATGGTTTGGTCAGCTTTGAGTCCATATGGGTATAATTTAAATATAATAAAACAAAGTTATTCCTTAGAAAAGTAAAAACAACAACAAACAAAATCAACAACGTACCCCTACTTTTTTGTTCTGAAAATATTTCTATTTATTTAAGAGATAAGGTGAAAAACATTCCCCCTGCGTTTTAAATTTCTCATATTTTACATGTGTTTTTTTTTTTTTTTGCTTTGTTTATTTACAGGCAAACTACTCTTGCTGTGTACATCATGACGCTAGTGGGGATGATCATATACACTGCAACACTCGACCAGAAATACCTCTGGGTGGTGTTTATCACTGCGGGAGCTCTTGGGTATTTTTATGTTATATCTACTTTACTACTTATGAAAACCATTAAAATAGTGACTAGAAACATCTGGTGTATGAGTTGTGTTGACATCAGACTGCATAAACTGGTAAATGCATAAAATACCTTTATTTTATATATGGCTTGATTTTTTTTAGAAAAATCAAAGCCTAAATATTATTTTTAAAATGATTCTTAAATACGTTTGTAAAACAGTGAAATGCCTTGAATGTTGAGCTTTTCTAATATTATTGAAGAATCTATAAGCATGATGGTATAAGCATTTAATATCAGCCAATGACAATAATTATTGATCAGTTTTTTTGTTTTATCTATTTAATATAAGGTTAAAAAACAGAATTTAAAATGTAACCCTAGTTAAATGTAACCTTTATCCTTTAGAAAGAGCTCAGACCTCTTTGCCAAGAGAACTTAAGAAAATAAATACTTTTTTTTTTGCCCTCCCTCATCCAGAATGCTGTGTGGTGTTGGATCAGAGTTCAGTGAAATCGTATCTCGTCCTATCTGACGTATTTCCTCCTGATATTGATCAGTTGTCTGTTTTAATATGTATTGTTATTGTTTTACTGCCTAGCATTGCTTTAAAGCAGGGGTGCTCAAGTCCAGTCCTCAAAAGCTACTCTCCTGCAACATTTTGATGCACCCCATTTTTAACACACCTGAATCAAATGAGTGACTCATTATCATGCCTCTGCTGGGCTAAATGAAGGGACTTAGTCTTTTGAGTCAGGTGTGTTATAGAAGAGCTGCATCTAAAAGTTACAGGATGGTAGCTCTTGAGGACTGAACCTGAGCACCCCTGCTTTAAAGTGACATTTTTCTCTACTACCTTCTCAATAAATCCCAACGTGTTTGATGCACAATAGATTTAGATACTTTTATTCAACTGAAAATGTTGCATACTTCTAGAAATGAGGATAAAATCCAAAAAGAAGGATCCCTTTTGAAACATGTGTAATTTAACTCCCATTTTACTAGAAATGTGTATGTCAAACATGATTTATATCTCTTTTAACAACCAGTGGAAAAAATTACATCTTCATGTTTCCACTGATTATTGCTTTTTTTCGAGGGATGAGCTCCAGGAGTTTAAGGTTAAAATGTCTCCCTTTAATAAATTTTAAGTAATAATGACTCAGATTTTTTATAAAGTTAAATCCTGGACTCTGGGTGGATCATCCGAAAATATTTATTTTACTTTTACTCAAAGGAAATTTTATTGGATTTAAATATTATTTTAAACCTCTCAGAGTGCATATATTAAAAAATAATAATTAAATGTAAAAAAAACAATATCATATACTTTTATTCTCTCAAAGAATAAAAGGAGAAATAGGACAATGAAAGTAAATTGCAAAAAATATTGTCATATAAAAATGATAAAATAAATTAATTTGAATTAGGAAAAAATATTTTCTTTTGAGGAATAATAAGAAGGGGGAATTTTTTTTTAATCCAAAGAATTTTAGCCTTTAGTACAACTATTAAAAGATTCTATACATTTATTATATCAGGTAAACATGTAGAATAAATTAGTACTTTCTGTATTATCTAAGAAAATATTTTTAGATTTAATGGCCATTTCAATACATATACTTTTTTGGGTTGTTTCATTCTAATGTTCTGATATTATTAAATTTGTGAAACATAGTCATTGTGAATTATTAAGTCTAAACATGGATGCAATTTACCCATATTTGGAAACGTAAAAAAATATTATATAACAATATATTTCTGTTTTCTTATATGACTATGTATAAACATTTAAACAAAACCAAAGCTCAGCATGTCTGTTCTTTTAATTCCTCATAATTAGATCAGAATATTTATCCAAAAAGAAAATTAAATCTGGAAGGCAATATGGTGTATGTTTTATTTTGGAACAGCTGTAGTGTAAGAACACTTTTACTTTCTGCCTCTACTGCAGAGGGAAATAAACATCTTGCAGTTTCTAATAAAAGTGTCTGATGCCAAAACTTTGCTGTAAGATCTGACATGCCCACTGCCATAAAGCTATACCAAAGATTACAGGGAATTTAGTAGGTGCAAAGTTTTCTTCCACATGTCAAGTATTGTGAACAGCTAAGCAACTATGCAATGATGTTATTCTGAGGTTGTATACAAAAATATTATCAGCTTGATAAATCAGACTGCAGATGGTTTTCTGTGCTGAATCTCATCTGTGCATGTTTGTGGCCCCAGGTTCTTCATGACAGGCTACCTACCTCTGGGTTTCGAGTTTGCAGCTGAATTGACGTATCCAGAGTGCGAGGGAACTTCCTCAGGGTTGCTGAACTGTTCAGCGCAGGTAGAACTGTGACTCCTGAAAGTTCACTATAAGAGCATTAAAAACAATATATAGAGAGGAAACAAAAGAGAATCTAATTAATTCATGAGTACCAGTTAATTCAATTTTTGTTAAGTGATTCAAGCAGATCTATATTTAAGTTTTGTGGTGACTTAGATGTTTTCTGTGAAGCTGCTAATGGATTTATTTTCCGCACACGCAGGTGTTTGGCATCATATTTACCATCTGCCAAGGGAAAATCATTGACAAGTTTGGCACCTTGGAAGGAAACATTTTCCTCTGTGTGTTTCTACTAATAGGCTCAATAATGACAGGTATGATCTGTTTACCACATTAATACAAGTGTGGAGTCATTTCAAGCTATTGCTGTTAAGTCATTCATACAGAAGTGTGCAACACTGATCTTTGCCTTTCTCTAGCTCTGTTACTGTTTTACTAGATCCTGTTTGGAAGGTGGTACATTCCAAGAATCTTGCTCATTGCTTCTGTGTATTTTCACACTGTAAAAGGTCACATTTTAGGAAACAAATAAATATTTTACAGCATAATGGCAGCTCTCTTTAATCCAGAACACTATACAGAGACCAGTGTTTTCCTTAGGGATTGGAGTATTAGAAAAACTATATATAGAAATGTGTATGAAAATGAAAATAAACTGTTTCCTGACCCTGTAATCCTTTTAAACAGCAAAAGTTATATATATATATATATATATATATATATATATATATATATATTTTTTTTTTTTTTTTTTTTTTTTTTTTTTGATTTTTTTTTATTAAACAATTAAGTTAAATAAACGGAGCAAAAGATAAAGTTATAGATAAAGTTATTATGTATTAACTGTTCTTCGTAAATAGTTGGTAAAATCAGTGGCAGCGCTAAACATGTAGGTAGGGTCATTTAAACCATCTGCTGTTAAATAAAATAGAAGTAAAACACTGGATAAATATGAATACAGAACAACAAAGAGATACATTTTGACTTTCAAGAAAAGAAATGCCAAAAAGTGTTTTTTGATATTTTGTTGAGAGCCATTTAAACACAACCACTAAAACAAATACTGCTCCCAATTTAAAAACTCTATAGGTTAGATTTAAGTGTGCAACTTTTAAAAGCATAGATAACTGTTGAAAAATAAGTTATGTTCTCGTGCTGTTTGTAGCTACTGTGAGGTCGCTCTATCCTTCAGCGATCATTAGGGGCCACACCACAACAAACCCATTTTACACAGGTTAAAGACACACAACCATGCACACACACACTCATACTTAAGGACAGTTTAGAGAAGCCAGTTAACCTAACAGTCATGCACAGTGAGAACATGCAAACTCCATGCAGAAAGAGCCCAGACCAGGAATCGAACCCAGAACCTTTTTGCTGCAAGGCAGCAGTGCTACAACCCAGGAAAACTGCTAAATAGTGTTAAGTTATAATCAACCCTGAGATCATTTTGAAAAGTTTTAATGGATACTCAACACAGAAAGAAAAGTTCACTTCCTTTAAGAAGACTGTATTATAACTTTTTATAGCCAGATAATGCTATTTTAAATAAAGCCTAAAATAGGCAAGGATATATGAGCATTTAAAAAAAAATTTAAAGGATTCAACAGTGCTTAATTTGAAGGTGATAAATAAAGTAAAACTATATCAAAATCAGTCGACGTTTGCTAAAATACAGGAAACATGCATAAGGAATCTAGCTTTAAAAATCACATGAGAAAGCAATCTGAATTTTTAATTATGCACAGTAGCAGTGTGTTGTCAGTCATTAAATGTTACTGACCTGCCTTAGTCAATACAGAGCCACTAAAGAGTTTTTGCTAGGTTTATTGAGACTTTTACGAGCAATGTTTAACTTTTAACAATATGCATAAGGAACAGAGGCGATAAACTCTGTGCTCACTAGAAAAACAGGAATCTGTGATGGGACTTTATTCTCTCAAAGGTCACCAGACTGACTCATTTATTTACTCAGATTATCAATCACTTGTTTTTGTCATAATGGTTTTTAGAAGAAAATGCATTACTTCTTAGAAAAAAACATTTTCCCCAAAGTGTAATTTCTGGTTAATTATTCTCTTTTCTCTTAAAATCCACACAGCTTTAAAGTTTGTTTTATACCAGGGGATTGGATGATATGGTTCACAGTGTTTTTTTTTGTTTTTTTACTGTTTTTTATTTACTACAGAGTATTTTTAATTAGCCTATTTCTACCATACTTGTATGATGCACCATTTAAGACTCAAATTTGTTGTTTTTTATGCATAACCCATGATTGCATGTTTTTGCTCACGGCCGTCATTATGGACGCAATATGAGAATCGCATTGCTCATGATCTCGTTTTCTATGTCTCTGTGTTGTTGCAGCCTTTATCAAGTCTGATCTGCGGAGACAGAATGCAAACCAACTTGCCAAAGAAGAGGTAAGTGTTAAAGTGAGGTAAGGGGTGGTGACCTGGTCAATAAGAGAGAAATAGATAATGGGGACATAAAGTAAAAAAAATGGCTTGATAATGAAGGAGATCAGAAAAAACCCAAAAACAAAACAATTATATATAATTTTAATGCCTTTATTTGGAATAGAATTTACAAGATATAACCAATAATGTTAATGTATTTTCATTTTATTTATGTGAGAGGTATTTTGCAAACAGCTTTATTTAAACATATAATTGGCATTGCTGCCATTTGCTGCATAAAACAAAAGAATTAAATGACAAGTTTTGCGATACAGAGGTTTTAGCTAACATACACTGTCCAACCAAAAAAAGAAAGAATCCTAGTTATTGTGATGATAACACACAAAGGGGTGTTACTGTTTTCAGAAGCTTACACTATCTAAAGAAGCAGATTTTCCAATATTGTATTTTAAAGTATATATTTTAAAACCTGAGATCGATTCAAGTTACAGAACATTGTTATTTCTCTACAATAAGTCTTCAAACTCATTGATACTTAGTCACTTAAACCAGTCATCTATGTTTTTGTCAAGATTTACACCACTTACAGACCAGGGAGTACAGATAGAAATACTATAGCATTATGACATTATCACTACAGCAAGTGCATTCAAAGGATTAACTCATTATTTCTAGTATCTATTGTCCCTTTTTCATTAAATAAGATAATTAATATAAACAACTATAATAGTTTTTTAGACCCTCCTTTGACCAGATTAAAGATACACCACAACATTAAGAAGTGTCGATAGTCTTTGCAGGGTCATCTGTGGTGCATGAAGAACTTATTGAGCTCTCCAACCTGTTATGTTTTGACCATGCTAAAACCTTCTATAAAGATATTGTGCTCTAATATGGCCAAATATCTGGGTCCTGTTGGTCCAGCGAATGACCCTAGTTGCAGAAGTGCAATCTCATCCATGAAAATGGTCCTGTGTGCTGACCGTTCTGCTTCCGGTTGCATGGTGACTGTATAGGTTTCCATCTGGGTGCAACAAAAAGGATTCCATCCAGCAAGGAAAATACAAAACTGACCCACAATCTCCATGCTGGTAGTTACAGTGACAAAAGCAGGTCCTTTGTACGTAGAGATAAGTTAAGGTGGGGCTTGCTATGAAGAGAACACACACATGCTCACCTCCAAATTGCATAGAGACTACTTCCTAAGAGATCTAATAAGCATTGGGACAGTATGTTTATGATACAATTATCAAGTGTGAAGCACAGAAACCCCCTTTACCTGCAAAGTCTTCTGCTGTTGGTAAGCTACTGAAAATAGTAATAACATTTATAGATACCTTTAAGACACAATCCTTAGACGGATGAAAAATCCCAATGGATAAAGTGCTTGAGTCTAAACCTTCCCAGCATTGCAGTAACTGATGGAGGAGGTGCAGAAACGTTTTATGTTTAGAGTTAAATTGTAAAAAGGTGAAAACTCTGGTGGTGCAATAGCTGTAGGTTTACCAAGGAATTATCAGTGAAACAAATCCAGTATTTGGGGAGCAGGTTAAGCAGACTAGTGTCACGATTCACTTCAGTTTGAAAAGAGCTTTTCAAAATTTGCCTTTATTTAGCCCCATTTTAAAGCATTCCTGGAGACCTTAGGTGATAGTATAAAAGTGGCTCTTAAGAATTAAAAGTGTGTCACTTTTTTGATCAGGGTCAAATTAAGGTTGAAGCCTACTTATCACTGGAGCCTCTTAATTGCTTTGTTAAATTTGGACGGGGATTGCATTTCTTTATTTGACTGGGCAGTGTGTTTATTTACATCTCCAAACAAATCTAGAGATTCTGCTCTTGTGATTCTCCCTGTTCTTTTACTATTCAGTCATGTTTTCTATGATTCTGGATGGGTCTCCAAGCTTTGTGGTGAAGTTACTGCTGGATACTGACATTCTTAGTTTAAGAACAAATTACTCACTCTTTGTGAACATGCCCTTTTGCAAGCTTTTGTAAATTCTCAATCATGGCGACCACAAAACAGGCTTAAATCTGAGACAACTTTGCTTAGCTTTTCTAAAGACCTTTTGACAACTATCCAGGTTTCTTTGTAGATTCCGCTGGCTCGTAATATAGCTGACTAGAGCTCTAGTTATTGCGAGCCAACAGAATCGACAAAGACTGCTGGATAGGTGTCAAAACATCTTTAGAAAAACAGAGCGAAAGACCGCACTTTCTCAGAAACCGCCACTGACTCTGAACTTTTTCTTAAACTGTCATAAAGCAGAGTTTGATCTCCACAGAACAATTTCACTGGCTTCGCAAATTCAAATTAATTCATCCTCAGTCAGTTTCTCATGAACTTCAACCCAGACTGGAGCCTCATTCTTTTGAAATTGCTGAATGAGAAGTGATCGGCAGCTGTTGTTTTAGGCGGAGAAGCGGATGTTGGAAATAGACTACGGAGCAACAGCGCAAATCTCGTCCCAGCCACAAACTCCTTCCTCTCAAGTCTGATCAAATAAAAAAATTCTGTGTACACAAAAAAATCTTCTCAAATTTTAGCTCAACACAGAATCAGAAAGGTAGGAGCACAAAACAATCACACACCAATGTTGATGATCTTGGCACCTTCTGTACACTCTTCACTGTGCACTATTGTATACTCTCACTCTGTCTCTTTGTGATTTTGAAATAAATAGATTCACCTTAGACAATACATTTCACTAACTTACTACTAATAATCAGGTTTTGGGCATGTACCAAGTATGCAGAAATCATTCATATCAAATTTAAAAAAAGCTTTTTACCCTTATTTATCTTTTTAAAGATTTCTCTATTCTAATTTAACATTTGGTGTGTTTGTGCATGCATAAAGCTTAACTTACTCCACTTCTGTAAAAGGGTTTGTCTAACCAAATATACCATTTCAGGTGCAGCTCAAATGAATCCATCAACAATGTCATACTTTTAATTCTCCATTTAACTACATTCCTTTTAAGCTTTGATATCATGTCATCATCCTTCCACCACAGTGCTTTAATGTCAGCATCGAATAACATTTTGACTATTACTTCAAGTTTTAAGTTGTAATTTTATGAGGTTCCTACATTTTTTTCAGTTTTTTTCACATGCAGCAACCATGCAAACAAACATAAACTAGGGATCAGCTCCCATCTATGTTTGAATACTGGGAAATTTTGAGCATGAACAATCTTTGCACTTCCTTAACATACAGTGCCTTTTAAAAGTATCATACCCTTTTTACCCGTTTAATGTTCTACAGTTCCACAGCCTCAATTTCCATTTTCTATGCAATATAATCTAGAACAACACTGCGAAGTTTCAAAAATAACATCTGAAAAGTGTGTGGGCCTATTTTTACTGCTTTACGATTATTGGGATACTATCTCTCTATGAGTTTTGATATTGATTTACCTTTCCAAAAACTTACATCCAATTCCAGATCATATATAAATAAAATTTCTTAATTCTTACCAGTTGTTTGTAATAGATTTATGCCTGAACTTTGACTTCCCCATTTTAAAACATGAATCCCTTTGGATTTTATCGTATCTTTTTTGGCCACATGGTGGAAAAAGTATTAGTTTCTTATCTTATCTCACTTTCTTTCACGTTTGCCCTTTTCCCTAGTTGGCTTATGCCATACTGCTAACATAAGGCCTACTACCTTTCTTTTTGTCTCTATTCCACAAACACAGAGTACCTGATTAATTGTTACCCGGACAACAGATCCTTAAACTGGAGATGTGGATCTCTGCAGGTCTGACAAAGTTACCATGGCCTCTTGGCTGCTTGTCTAATAAACTAACCTTTCTTAGATTATGTTTTAATAACCGATTACAAGTTTAGTGTCACACGGGTTAACTGTCCCCTGTGCTAAACGTAAAGCTATCTCGATGGCAATGTTATTAGAGTATTTTGGTGATTATATTTCAACATTAGTGAGAGATTACGTGCATGTCACCAGTTTAACATGTAATCTTAAGGCTATAACATAAATTTGTCAGGATTTGTGAGACTATAGCAGGACCAAAATGCAGGAAGTGGTTGTGCCTGAATGTCCGCCCTAACCCCTACATAGGGCACTATACTGTATAGTGGTTATACCACTTTATATGAGTGTTCCAATGTCTAGTGGATGAAAAGTAGTGGACTAAAAATTTCTTACAATGCACATTGAAAAGTAGTGATCATCCATGGTCACTAGACGAGCAGATATATCCCGGAATGGTTTGCGAGAGCTCTCCTGGCAAAGCATCATTTTGGGGGTGAGTGTAAACAAAGATGCTGCAGGGATCGAAGTCACCTGACCAACAGGGAGTGAAAAGTACTGATCATCTCTCCGAACAGTTTTAGGTCCACTATATAGTCCCCACTCTATATAGTGATTGAGGGTTTATGTCAACGTTTTGGTTCTTTTTAAGTTTTGTTTTTGAGTTTCTGTTGGTTTTATTTCCATTTTGTGTTATTCTAGTTGTTTTTGGTTATATTTGTGAGTTCTTATGCATGTCTTGTTTACCCTCTTGTGCCCTCTTGTGTCACTCTCCTTCTCCTAACTCCCTTCTAGATTCTTCTGTCCACACCTGCTCCCAATCTGCTGATTAGCCTTGTCTTTTCGTTCAGTCTCTCATTTATACTCCTCCTCTTCTTTAGTGTTTGCTGGTTCCTCGTCGTTACTTAGCTTCTCTTGTGGGTTTTCCCCTGTCGTCTCTTGTATTTTTTTGGTTTTCTATATTTAGTTCTTGAATTCTGCCTATGTTGCCTTTCGAACCTTCATTAAATCATCTCTGCATTTGGGTCCTCAACTAACTTCCACCAAACCTGACAGGTTAGGGGTTAAGGCGAACATTCGGACACAGTCAGAGACTTGGAGCCAGCATAAAAAATAAAACTATTTTATGAATACAATTTGAATGATCGGACTCAAGGAGCAAAATAGGGAATGTGGTAGAGATACAAACCGTATGACAGTAACTGAACAAACAGTTGTGAGCATTTGAAATTAGGGGGCTTATATACAGAAGGAGATGTTTACAGAGGCGTGGAAAAAAGAAACGAGCAATCTGCTGCAGATTAGGAAGAGCTCAAGCTAATGAATGCAAAGGAAGCTGGGGTAAGTGAGTACTAAACAGGAGCAGACAGAGAGGAACAAAGGAAAAAAATCTACTAGAGTTGTTATATACAAAAAAAATGGACCAACTAGGCAACACAGAAAAAAACAAACAAAAGACTCAAGAGACTTCCAGAAACTGAAATACCCAAGGATCCTGACAGAACAGGCTTGTAATTAAACTAGTGCTGTCAATCGATTAAAATTTTTTAATCGCGATTAATCGCATCAATGCCTGAGTTAACTCGCGATTAATCGCATTTTAATCGCAAATTTTTTTTCTGATTGAAAATCATTTAAATACTCTCGATGACATACAAAAAATACATACAGGCTAGGTTTGTGCCAATGTTCTTTTTTTTAAATGAAAACAGGTCACAGATACTGATTTATGCCATAGAAACATATGGCAAGAAGATGGGGAGGCATGTAGCAAAAAATAACAAATATGTAGCCAAAAAAAAGGCCCTGAAAACAGGCTGATGTAAAAGACAGTCTTTACAGTTAATACAGTCTTTTGAACAAAGACAAGCATTTTACCCTGCTGCTATAAAATGTAGTACAGTTAACATTAGATGTTAATTAACCAAGATAATAATGAACAATTTTCAATCAATACATCAAAATCAATAGACCGACATCACTAGATGGAGGTAGTCTATGAAAGTTACTTTTCAGACTCTTAACAAAAATGAGAACACACACACAAGCACCCACCCACCCACACACAGACACACCCACCCACACACACACACGATACCGACCTGTGACAGCAAGAGTGCCGTAGCAGATTCCATTTCACCTCAGTAATCTGTTTTCTCAGCGTATTTCAGGTTGCTACTAGTTACCAGACACTCAACTTGTTTGTTGGTGGTGGGGCTTAAAGAAAAGGCACTAGCGTCACCCAGTGTATGAGCGTCTTTTTTCCTTGAGGAGCTCCGCTCTTGAAGCCTATGAGAAATGCATACACTGGGGGAAAATAGCCCCGCCTCCCCGCAGGCTGCAGCGGGATGTACTTGGAAAATTTTACCATAAAACCACATAGCGTTAATCTCACGTTAAAAAAATTATCGCCGTTAAAATGGCCTCGCGTTAACGCGATAATAACGAGATAATTTTGACAGTACTAAATTAAACCCTTCCTTTCATTTCAAAGTACTTCAATTGGACACTCTCAGTGAAATGTGTTTGTTTCAGGGTTCAGCCTCTAGATTAGGTGACTTTTTCTTGTAAATATAATATTAGTTTCTGAAAGTTATATTTGGCCGCCTGTTTCTTGTATCACACTTTCTACTGAAAATAGCAACTAGTGAGAAGTGTGACAACCAACCTGAGATAAAAAAAAGGGTTCATGAACAATGTTAGCAGTATGCACATCCTCTCTATCAGAACACCTGCCATCATTTACTCCAGCAGAGAAATGCAATTTTTCCGATTCAAGCAAATTATTGCCTGGTTTCTGCTGTTCAAGAAGATGCATGGAAAAATAATTAAAACAACTGTGGTGAAAGGATTTCGTTTTTTTTTTATGTACTTTTTAATGTTCTTAATGTGGAACAATGTTAGTAGCCATGCCTTTTGTGTTAATGTCTACATAATCTTAAAGGTATAGTGGAGGATGTTCTTTTCCGGGTGGATCATCAAAATAAGCGGTCCTCCTGATTGTCAATCATTCTGGTGATATTTTTACGTAAGGCCATCCTACGTGCTCGTCCCAATTTTCATTTACCGGTGGTGAGTCTGACATAGTGGAAAAATTGCAAATCTTCTTTTGGAAAGTGAGCTTGTATGAGCGATACAAACAGCAACTTTTAAACAGAGCGTGCACGAGGAGAAATAGGCCGACCCATGCTCTCACACATGTTTCGGCGTTTCCTCTCAGGAGTGGGTACAGGGTTGTGCATGTGCGAGTGGAGAGGGCGGGTCTTTTTAAAACTTTGCGAAAATCCTCCACCTTACCTTTAAGGAAAAGAAATAATGTAGTAAGAGCTTTTGGTGAAGTGGCTGCTATTGTTGTAAATAAGACCTTTGTGGTAAATCCACACATCTCTTTTGATTCACAGGAACCTACCAATTACACTACAGAAAACTTGGACTCACCCACCATCATCAAAGAAGTCCAGTTTTAGGGAATTACATTTCCTATCAACATTTTATATGAAGAACTGAAAATCATAAAACTTCCAAAACATTTTCCTTTTGAATTGACCAAGACAAAGGGTTGACTGTCAGTATTTTTTTCCACGTTAATTACAAATGCCTGGCTAAAATAAAGCAACAAAGTTTGATATTTTGTTGAACCACTTTTAGATTTGATTACATCACATATTAGCTATGGCATTCAAGTGCATAATTATGTCTAAACTGGCAATGTGATCTTTGGGAGGAGAACAGAATGACTGTGAAAACCCAAAACTTTTTGTTGTTGTTGTTGCTGTTCTGCAGACATCATAAGTATTTAAATACTCAACTAAATCCATGACAACATGTGCAGCTGCTACTCTGTTCAATGCCACAGGACCGGTTTAAAAAGCGGATAAATCCAAGTTGTATCAGTGAAGGGACAGTATTAACTTTAGTTTTAAAAGCTAAATGGCTTATATCTATGTAGTCCTTTTTTAAAGACACCCTGACCATTCAATGCACTTTAGACAGAGCCAATTTCACCAGATCACATTCATGTACCAACACATAATTCTGATTGTTCCACATTAGAACACAACATGGTGATATATGTATTGGTCAAGGAAGACAATGACATGTAGCAGGAATCAATCCGATATTTGTTAGAGTTTCTACTGAGACACAGTCATCAATCTCCCTGTAGACATGCAGATCATTTTCTGGAGCCCCTGGAAAGGCGCGGTAAAGGTCCTCCATATAAATGATTATGAACATTTGGGAGCCATGTGAGGGTTCTTAGCTTCAGTTACCTTCAGTGAGAATTATTTTATTTACCTCATCCAGCTTTGTTTCTCACAGGTACAGCTATTTTACATCTTTTTAATTGAATTCCTCTTTAAGACTGTTCTCTTGTAAACACTCTAGTGTTTTAAATTCTCTACTATTTTTTAAGAGTTAGAGAAATTGGCCTCTATCCCAAGATATCTAAAACTCATTCAGAAAAGAAATGATGGATTACCAATTAAAAGCACTTAAACGCTGATTAACTTTAAACAGTAAAGGATAAATGACAATCACACTTCAGCTATCGTTTTCAAAACAATAGCTGAACTTTAACAACTTTACTTGTTTAGTTTCCATTTTAAGGTTGCATTTCTATAAATTGTACTGTGAGATTATGTCCTGGATTAAAAAAAAATATAATTTAGGGCCTTTAACTTTTTTCAAATGGTTTAAATTTGTGTACAGTGAAGTAAACGATATAATTTTGATTCTTTTTTATTTCCTAAAAGTCATGCATATAAATAATTTGCAACTTTAGTTTTGAATGCGCAGAGGTTAATCTAATTTAAATTGAAAAGGACTAATGCATCAATAGAAGATTTGACATAGAAAACATCGATTTTCCAGCAACAAATAAATAAAACATTCACACCAATGATAATTTTAGTTTGACTTATCCTAACATTCACATTTTTTAATTTTACTCTGTTAAAAAGATGTGCATGTTTTGCTTTTTCTAATGTAGGAAATGTCCATCAAGAATATTTTCAAGGTAATTGCTGACAGTTTTAGGTGTGTAAAATGTCAGATTTTATGTCTTCCCTTAAGTACAAAATCTGCTTAAATACATACCGATCCTTCAATGATACAAATGTCTGTATTTTTTAACATGTCCTTTTTGTGTTAGGTGGTCTCTTTTGTTAGTTTACAATGGTTTTATAGACAGCCACTGTGATAGTTTTCCCTACATAGGGTAATAGACTACTACTTTCTGCTCTTGAAGAAGTATTTTCTAGAGTTAAACTTAGATACTAAAACTCACTAAACAAAGTCTCACTTGTTTTGATAGAAATGTTATTGAACTTTAACACTGTTTATTTTTTGATAGAAAAAGTAAGCGAGTAGTTAACTGAGAGCATACCGTAAGTAAGTACACCCAGACACACTAGAGGGCGCTGTTGATCCATTTCTGTTGTGGTCCAGCAGGGTGGAAAAGCTTGATTTTTGACATTTAGGCTCATGTTAATGTATGTATGATGGCTCTGCGCTTTTTTTTCTTTTCCACTAGTTGTCAAGTCTTTAAGCAGACTAGTAATTAAAATCTGAAAATAGGGAAAACTTTTTAACACAACTACAGCAAGTGCCTTTTCAGAAAGAAAGGAAGCAGCTCAATAAAAAAAAAATGAGTCAATTTAATGTAACTTTTAATTGTTGCACTATTCTTCCTTTTTTGTGAAAAAACTATAAGGTGGCTTTTATTATTTTATTTTGGCCAGCTAGCATCTGACTATTATAATCTTGATGATTAGACACTGTCATCAAATGTATGTAGTGGTCCATGTCAGTAGAAGGAACTCCAGTCCATAATTGTCTAGGGATAGAGAAAAATGTAAGAATTATGACTTTTATAAATACATTTGTACCAGTATCCTTGTTTTTTTTTTTTTAATGAAATAAAAATGTTTTCCAAAGATTCTTTTTAATTCCTTCTCACACTGTTTGTTTCTCATCATGAAATTTCATTCGAACCTTGATGCTCCACAGCCCGTAAAATTAACACGTCTCTTTATGATTCTGTTACCGAATGGCACCATTCAGAAAAAGAGGCGTGTTGGAAGATAAAAGGGTTACTTATAGCCGTACAGATCAGCTCCAAGTCCACAGAGACACGGGAGCTGATTCTTATCAGTAAGCAAAGTGTAAAGTACTAAACGCGTTGGAAGCAAACATTTTTTAAAGCTATTAATTAAACAGCGAAAAGTGAAAGTTTACTTAGATTCTGCAACAAAGGACAAATCAAGTGTTAGTGACAGGAGAAGAAGATGATAGAAAAGTTGTTACAAAAAAAGCACTTTTTATTCCAAAATCATTTAATAAATTTAAATAAATATTAAAAAATGAGCTATAGAATTTAACATCTGTGGTGGGTTTTAAATGTGACACACCTTTGTAATAATTTAAGGTTTCAAATACTTCAAAATTGATTACATGATAACTTATTTTTCTCTGCAATTTAACAGAAAAAACATTTTAGAGTGTAAAGTATTAATAACCCAGGTACATGACTTGAAGACCCACAGTTTGTTAAACTACCATTTAGTTGAGTTTATGGTATAGTGTTTTTTCATAGGATCATTCTGCAACATTTTCCCTTGGATATATTTAACAATTTAACCTTGGGAAGGTTTTTCAAAATCTGTCAGATTTCATTAACTTCTTGTCTGGACACCCCCCATCAATTGTCCCCACTTGTTGTCTGTCAGGTTTATTCCAAAACCTCAATTTTTCTTAACTTGTCATGGTTTTGGTTGGTATATTGTGCTTTACTTTGCTCTATGTTTCCTAGTTTTATTGGTTTAATTCCTTTTTTGTTGTAATTTCTAGATTTATGTTAGTTCTCATGTTGTCCTCTGTTGTCCTCTTGTGTGTGTGTGTGTTCCTTTCCCCTTGGCTCCCTCGTTGTCTCCTCTCACACCTGCTCCTTGTCAGCTCGTTAGCCTTCCCTTTGTCTGTCAGCTACATATACTCTCCCTCTGCTCTCACTCCTTGTTGGTTCCTTGTTGCTGGTCCTGTCGTCGCCGTTGTCCTCTCACCTCGTCTCTCCCTGGCTCCTTGTGCGTGGTTTCCCTTAATGTCTCCATAGTTCTGGTCTGTTACATTTTTTGTTGGATTTTTGGATTCCTGCTTTAACAATTTTAATCATTAAAAACTACAAGAATTCAACTCAGCCTGTGCATTTGGGTCCTCAAAACCACAATCAAGACGTGACATAACTGCAGCTATCATCTCGAAGACCTTGTTGGAATTTATACCAAAAGCCAAAGGCGGTCATTCTTCAACTTCTCTTTGCAGGTTTTGTTTATTGTTTCTTCCAACTTTATAAAAGTTCTAGTCATATCTGAAGGAATGTTATCTCAGATCATGAGCCTTCCACCACCATGTCTTACTGTTGGTATCAGGATACTTTGGTGGGTTGTTTTTTTATTGCTCAAATGTTTCAGTTCGGTTTTATCAGATCATAACAGATTTTTCTAAAAGATTATGGGAGGCTTTTATTGTCAGACCCAGGTTTTATATTTCACCATTCCTACTGTACTTAGTCTAAACATGTGGAGTACAGCAGATGTGTCATTGCATGTCAGGAAACAGTTCAGACCATTACCAAAATGACTTATGTATTACTATAGATTTTTGGCTGCCCAATTTAATTTCTCATCTTACCTGTTTTGAAGAGAACATGCAGTTATATACAATATAAAAAGCAGAGGAGAGAAATCAGCATAAGTGAAGCACGAGGGGGTGTATCAGTGACGCTGATCTATAAAAGTCTAAGGATGCAAATAGTCATATGTTTGAGATATTCTGCCTTGTTATACAGGAATTATTGTTTCAAAGCCATTCACCCAGCCTATACCTGTGTTGATGATTCAGAGAACAAGTGAGTTTTAACTTGTGGTTCCAGAATAAGTGTCTCAGTGAAAATGCACATGTGCAAATATGAAAAAAAAAAAGCACGTATCATATCCTTCCAACTCTCCACAATGCGGTATTTCCTGTTTGGCCAATATGTACATAAAATCTGATACAGTATGTTTAAGTTTGTGGTGGCGATCCAAAGGTTTCAGATACCTTTAGTTACAAAAGACTGAAAGTATCTAAATAAAATGGCTGACAAGTTAGTTAGTGGAAAGTGTTGGCCTTAAGACAAGGTGGGGCAGAAGAGAATATGGAAATGTAAAAATATACACAGCTTGTTTTAAACTTTGGTAATTTGATTCCACTAGAGAGAAGTTTCTTTGCTGTACATCGGGGTAAAAATCTTAAAAGAGCCTTAAAAACCCAGGTTATAAAACCTGGGTTTTTAAGGCTCTTTTATATAATTAACTTTTATATAAATAACTTTTTACTTGTTACATTTTAAAAAAAAGGGTCTCTAAGTTCATTATGTCGACTGTAATGCAGGATGCAATACCTTTTTATGGCCAGATGATGGTGTTAAAAGCATGTCATTTGAGAAATCTTAGTCATTAGACTGTGTGGGGGTATTTGTATTTGTTAGGGTTAGTGTGGTAGATATACTGACTATCTTAAACAATTCTAGTTAACGCCTCTAGGGGGAGCCAGCTACCTATGTTTAGGCAGGACTGTGGGGAAACAGGCAGTAGAGAGAGAGCGCCCGCTACGTCTAGAGGCATGTTCAGTTGTTCTGTGAATATAAGTAAATAAAGGGCACGAAGCCAAAGAAACAACCTGGTGTGATGATTGCTACAGCCACCGTAGGATATCACACAATTGGCGACGAGGATTTCAAGGATTGGAATTTCCCAGATGAGTCACGGAGAAGCGAGCTCCAGTGAATTCAACAGCGCCGAGGCTGAGGAGGTTTCCTTGCCGCACCGGGCTCCACCAGCACCTCCACCGCGGCAAGTAAAGATGGCGGCGGTGATCGGATCGGTAACCCCTTTTGATAATGCGACTCAGTCTTGGGAAGAGTATAGTGAAATGCTGGACTTTTTCTTTGAAGCTAACGATATTAAGGAGCCAGAAAGACGGAAAGCTGTGCTTTTAAGTAGTGTGGGTGCAACTACTTATAGCTTGCTGAGGAATTTAGTCAGCCCTGAATTACCAAAAGCAAAAACGTATGATCAGCTCACTGCTGAGCTAAAAAAGCACTTCAACCCCACACCAAGTGAAATTGTGCAAAGATTTAAATTTAATTCACGCATACGGAAGAGCAGCGAGTCAATAGCTGAGTATGTGGCTGAATTGAGGAAATTAGCCCTACATTGTGACTACAAAGATGCACTGTCAGAAATGTTACGGGACAGATTGGTGTGTGGAGTAAATGATGATTGAATGCAAAGGCGACTTTTATCTGAAACAAAATTAACTTTTGAGAAGGCTTTGGATTTATGCCAGGCGATGGAATCAGCTTCGAAAGATGTAAAAGAAATGCAGGGGAAGCTAGTCGAGGACTCTGCGCTGCATGCACGTGTACCAAAGACTCAAGTAAGTGTCCACAAAGTATCTGCTGAAAAAAGGCAACGCAAATTCCCTAGTTGTTATCGCTGCAAAGGCCAGCACAATGCCGCTGAATGCAAGTTTGCCACTGAACTGTGTCATAATTGTGGCAAGAGGGGGCACATTAAGAAAGCTTGTAGATCGAAGGCGGGCAATGTACATGTGCAGAAGGCAACGTTCAGAGGGCACAAAGGAGAAAGCAGGGGCCCAGGGAAGGAACAGAGAGCGAATCAACTTAGAGGGGAGGGAGAAAGTGATACAGAGGACACAAGTTTTCACACAATTTACAGCATGTCAGAAGAGCTGACCAAGGTCGCGCCCATCACACGCACCATAAATCTAAACGGAATGCAAGTAAAGTTTGAAATGGACACTGGCTGTGGAGTAACCATACTAAGCAAACAGCAGTACACACAACTGTGGAAGAAAACAGACACTGCAGAATTAAAGCCCTGCTCGCTAAAACTAAAAACATACACAGGAGAGAAGTTAGGAGTGCTGGGCATGACACAAGTGAAAGTGCAACATGAAAACAAAGAAAAGACCTTGCCTGTAGTAGTAGTGGGGGGTGAAGGACCAAATCTACTAGGGCGAAACTGGATAAAAGAGTTAGCCATGTTGGATCAGTGGGTGAATAAGGTAGAATTCCAGCCCAAGGTGCAGCTCGAGGGGATCCTCGAAAGACATGCAGAGGTGTTCAAAGAAGGGTTGGGACAGCTAAAAGGGGTCACAGCGAAGATTACTGTAGAAAAGGAGGCCCAACCACGATTCTTCAAGCCCAGACCGGTACCTTATGCAGTTAAACCAATGGTTGAAAGCGAGCTACAGAGGCTCCTGGAAGACAAAATAATCGAACCAGTGCAGGTTGCAGAGTGGGCGGTGCCCATAGTCCCAGTGCGGAAACCGGATGGCTCCATTAGAATCTGTGGGGATTATAAACTCACTGTCAATAGAGCATCACGGGTGGATCAGTATCCAATTCCCAAAGTGGAGGACCTTTTCGCACAGCTAAACGGGGGGCAGCACTTCACAAAATTAGACATGAGTCATGCATACCAACAGATCGTATTAGATGAAGAGTCCAGGAAGTATGTAACGATTAATACACACAAAGGCTTGTATACCTACACACGCTTACCATTTGGAGTAGCTTCCAGTCCTGCTATATTC